GCACCGGGTATTGGTTTGGAAACCTGAAGGGAAGAGACCTCTGGGGAGACCTAGACGTAGATGGGAGGATAATGTCAGGCGGGATCTCTGGGAGATAGGAGTTGAAGGAGACTGGATTTTGTTGGCCCAGGACAGGGTCCGGTGGAGGGCTTTGGTTAATTCGGTGATGAACCTTCGGGTTCCCAAAAACCATCTACTTAGTCGCCTTTGCTCGCTTTATGTACCAAGCTTAAGTCTTTGTGCCCATTGTACAATGTGATGGTGAGTTGGAATGATTTTAGAGATATAATGTACGGTTTATATTATCATCCTGGTTTCTGCATGGAAGGACGAAGGAGAAAGACGAATACACGTAGGACACCTTTGCACCCAGGCGAGGTAGAACTAGGGATCCAGTCATACGCAGTAACACTGTTCGGCCAGTAGATGTCAGAGCAGTATCGTGAAATCATATACATTTCACTCAACAGATGGCACGAGTAGTAATGGGTGGTCATAATGCTATAGTTGTGACGTAAACCACGAAGACAACGTCTGCTACATGACAGTATATACAGAAGTTGTCACACGTCTGCTCGCAGATTATGGCTGAAAGTAGGGCCAGACCGGCATAAAATTTTGCGCCGATTATGGGGTGTCCACATGCAAAAATAAATTGTGTGATATTACAGATAGTATCTAACGACGAAGTCTTCCTAGTTTATTTATTTATTTAACAAAGTTGTTACCAATTTTTCCTATGTACTGATCACGTGACCAGAATGCCTCCACACACAACCCCACACGGACTACTGCTCTACGAACCATCAGGAAGAAGGAACGTTGGACGACCAAGAAAACGTTGGAAGGACCAGCTGTGAGTAACCCATGGAGATGGAACAACCCAATGGCCTAATCCTTAAAGTTGTTTATGATAAAACGAGTCGAATATCGGGATGAACGATTTATTGGAAAGTATTTTGAGGCACCATCCCAATATTTTGGAAGGACTAACGAAAACCACGGCATACGTTAAGTCAGGTTACTCGCCCTTGGGGCCGAATTGTACCCTGCTTCAATACGACGCAGTGCTGCCATCGTCGCAGAAGTCGATGTATCCCTCATGTATAGACACTTCCTGTTCGAACACTTGAATCTTCTCAACGACCAGATTTTGCAACATTCCAGGTGCAGATGTCGGCCGGATCACTGTACTAATTAGTTTATGATGGTATTAGCTGTGCATGTTTCGGTCACATTGTCTTCGTAGTCATAGCCACGCCTCTGCTCATTTCTGTATCTGTGGGATCGAAGAGCTCTATCATGACGTCACCTCCTTGTAGTGAATGACGTCACAACATAGGAAAGCTCGAAAGAAGGCCTTGGGATTCGCTTTTAAAAAATTGTAATCCGTTCGAAATGTTAACGTGTTTCAGATGACGTGAAAGAGTTGTCAGAAATTTGTGGACAGTCTGGGATTTTCGGACTTTTCTGCGTTTGGTGACAACTGCGTTATGTTCCGGAGATGAACGTGTAACGCCATATATTCTAAATAGCATTTATTGAAAAATCAAAGTTTACATAACAGAGTCGAATAATTTTTATTATCGCATTTTCCGTTGTTCATTAAGTAAATGAATTCTTTTCAGGCTACCAGCAATGTACGTAAGGTGGTTTAATGAAGAACACACCAACGTTTCGAGAACCCTATTCGGTCTCGTTCTCAGGGTGCTCTGTGTCAGAACTTAATCACCTTTCCGTTTTACGATGTATTTTTTGTTATGCAACAAATGACAATACTTAAAAACAATCTCATTATACATTTCAGTTTACCGCGAGCACAACTGCTCTACGTTATTCTCCCATGAAAATTTCACCACGTCAAGCAGTTGGGGGACAATATAATTACGTAAGAATTCTGTATTAACATTTCGAACAGGTTTTCAGTTAGTATCATGTGAAAAGAGTTACCAATATCGGAACATTTCCCGCTGGATTAGAAGCAGAATGAATAACGAAAACTACAATGCACAATCTGTAGGTTCGTAAACGAACTAAAATAAATAGGACAGTCCAGAACGCGACACTAGAGCGACCTTTGAAGGAAAATAACAATTAAAAGGTGGGAACTAAAGAATCACGACATGCAGGTGATTAAACACACCGCCGTTCCGAGGTAAAGAACTAAGTTCACAGCGGAATAAAACAAACAGATGTTTCATCTCAACTGTGACATCGAGAATAGACCGTAACGGAAATTCAGGAGAATTTGCAGGTGTGAAACTGATCTGCAGGCCAGTGATGAAATTTATTTTCACGAAGCATCAATACCTTATCTGCTGTCACGGCAGAGTCTGCCGCACAGACCCACCGAGTTACAGGCAGTTTCACTGCCTCGCTCTATCACTTTGAGACTCCAGGAACTACAAATTATGACCTGTAATGTTGTATTAGTCAAAAAAATCCACAGGCGTATTAATCGTTTCCCGCTTTACACGTTTTCGATATACGCTCAGTGAGTTCATGATGAAATTAGAAGAATAAATTCCGTCTGATTTCCAAAACTGAAGATAAAAATATACAAAACTGCAGTTTCGCTGGTTGTTTTGTGGATGTGAAACGTAGTCCCTTTGCTGTGAGGAATAAACATGAATTACAAAGAAATTCTCAGGAGAACAGCTGAGTGCAAAAACAATCTATGATGCTACATAACAAGACATTCTGTTCCCAGGACAGCAAAGTCCGGGTAGAATGGGGGAGACAAGAAGCAACTGCATAATTTTGTTGGGGATACCTATTGGGAAACAGCAATTCAAAGACCGAGATAGGATGAAAGAAAAACATACGCATATCAGAGAAGTGTTTGGAGTTACGAGATGGGATGTGAACGGAACTGGTCCAGAATCGTGCCCAGAAAAGTGGTAACTCCGGATTCTGCCACTAGCCAACCTGTTCGCTATTTTTATCACGTCTTCGTCTGTGTCCGGACAATAAAGCTGTTGTGGCGTAGTTCTTATGGCTCTCATTATTTTCATGCAATAGATACAGACCGTCCAAAGTCACCGTCTTAGAACACAGAGACGCCTCGCCTGTCACGGGACTCTGATGTAGTTCAACCGAGAGCCTGCGCCCCACATTAACATTTGAATTGCTAATAGTAGTGAGTAAGACCGTCGTGGTGACGTGGCGTGACGTCACGTTACTTGTGACCGATACAGGCACACAACTGTAAAAGCAAGATTCACACCGACACGAATTATCAGAGCGCTAAATGTAGCGTGCAGAACAGTGTGGACGTAAAAACCAAAGCGATTGTGACTTCGCATTTTAAATTATTGTCCCTCGACAGGAGATACATGTCGAAAGCATACGTATCGCCCGTCGCTATCTTGTGTGCAGCACATCATAATAGATAGAAATAAGGTTAAGATAAGAATAAAAATGAAGTAGTAAGTCTGTGCAAAATATAGAACATGTTGTATTCAAGGACATTTCAATCACCGACGTCACAAACTGATTACTTTGGTGTGAACACAGGCCACATGATATCGCTTACTGTCCATTCTTTGTTACCGGTCACGTCGGTGTTTCGTGCGATCAGAATGAAACAGACATAATTTTGAGTTGTCGCCATGTTGCGATTTTAAAATTTGTTCAGAAGTTCGTATTATTAATCTATCTTGCTTCCGCCTCGAAGCAAGCGAGACGACACAGCAGACCACAGAAACAAGTTCCTTGATAGCTGTGTCATATCGACGGACAGGAAGTCCAGCTCGGTATTTAGCGGTCACACGGTTTGAATAGTGTATAGTGAATTGTCCTTCAGTGTACTGAGTACCGACCGCGAACATGCATCTGCCCTTTCGTGCAGTGGTCTGTATGGGACGAAATTTTAGAAATTTACCCGGCCCGAAGACCATTTGACCTGTCCGAGTCCAATGTTTACCTTCAAATATGTTACCCTACTTCATTTCATTCAACCTGAATGAGGCCCGATATGTTTAAAATCTACCCCGACTGTGGCAGCAATAATACATATTTCGTCTAATGCCACTTTTCCTTGAACGAATCTTTAACTACGTTCTACGGATATCTGAGGTTATTGACAGATTTTAGGAACGGTACAAAGATATAGGATGCCAATTTGTAATGTGTTATCTCGAACTATTTCCGAGAAAGTTAGTCTGTGGTATCTGAAGATGGCTGTCTTATGGATCGTTGAGCCGTGTAGTCTAGCAGAAGGTTACAAACGTTTCAGAAGTCCTTGCTGCCTCCATCATCAGGGCGATGAGTGATTACATGGTGCAACAACCCAGAAGACAACCATCTTCGGACTCACCGCCGTGAAAACCTATAATCCTACTTATTTGTATTTGTTTCCGGAACCGAACTGTCACCTGCATAGTATGAGCGAAACTGTGGAATAACGTTTTATTTGCGAGAAAAGAATGCCTGAAGAAAGCTCGTAATGTTCTTCAACCGAACTCGAACATTTTCTGTGCTACCACGCCAGGCCCGGGTCCATGCAGACCTCTACATTCATTAACATACGAACAATATAAATAAACTGAGAGCTGCCTGTTGTTACAACCGAGGTTCTGGAAACCGAGTTCCACTGGCACAACCACTGCATCTGGTATGGAAGAAATGCCTACCACTAGAGAAATAAGTTCTCAAAGTGGTAGGTATTTTCCCCGCATATCATTTGTTTTAGTTGAAATTCATAATTCACCGTTTACGGTTTTGACACTGTTGAATTACTAGTTTCGTATGGAATTGCAGATCATTTCGTAAAACTACTGGAAGCCAATTTGTTTCACACAACTCTGTAAGAACTCCGCGTTTTTCTGTTTTGTCCTGTGTATGGGTCTTAAAATGGGCCAATTCCCCATCAAATGAAATACAAAACTTGACACTTGGAATTGGGAACAATAAAAAATAATAGAAAACGCAAGAAACGGAAACAACTTAGCAATTTCCGCCCTTCCGGTTTCCGTCATGTCCCCCCGTCAAAGTTGTTTCTCTATGCTGCGGCAGAGACTAAGCATGCGCATGCGCGTGGCCCAGCTATATTTTGCGCTAGCCGTCGCTGGGCGTGTATTGTGGTGTTTGCAGTGCCCAGGAGAAAGGAACTATCATCGTCCATCATGGTGCAAGGTACGTTATTATGTTGACCTGCTTGGTTTTGATTTATTATTTTCTTTCTGTGGTGACAAACGCGTGTGATTTGTGAATCGAAATTAGGATTACCGTTGAAGAGAGAGTAATTCCAAAAACAGAAACTCCGCTTCGGACCGTTATATTTGATAATTGTTATTTAAGTAGTAATGCATAATGAAACGATAAGTCAACATGGCAGAGGCCTGAATCTGTGAGTCTTGATGCCAGGTGAGGAATGTGGTTTCTTTCTTCCCATATGTTGAAATTCCCCATACGACTACAATATATGTCAACAACTGAGAACAAATCATTGCAATAATAGTATGCGGTGTGTCTTACCGGTAAACACGCAGCTTTGTTGCCCGCACAGCGATCCTCCGCCACTTTCGAAGGAGTTGCTTTCGTGGCCACTGACACATTTTGCTGGCACCTGCTGTTTCAAAATATCGCCACCACCGCAGCAGTGTTTTGCATGGAATTTCCTACCGTTTTCTTCAAGGAATGTTTGAACAGTAATATTTCAGCCGACAAAGAAATAAAAGTGGTTCAGATATGAATGAATCGCATTGACGCGGAGGATGTAGCGTCCAGTCGGAAGGTTGAATTTATTCGTGCGATGCGGTGCAGTTCCAGAAGACAATCCGCCATTACGACTTTGACGTAATAAAGATGTCTGTCTTCGGGTTTGGTTGCACGTAACGAACAGGTCAGGAAACGGAAAATTGACTCAGAAAATACATGAACGCTATTTCTAAACGGTAGCTGTACGTATGTATAAATCCAACAACGGTACAGACGAACTAGTTTCAGAATTTCGTTATAGTAGTCACTGAATACACGAATATAAACTTTTTTACTCACATGTATCATGAACGTATCGGAGGAAGAATCTGAAAATTCACACAAACTCAGAAATTCCGACAGTTACGAAATTTAATTGTTTTTGGCAAGGGAATTCCATTCCAATTAATTTATCTCTGTGTCTTCAGGCCCATTCTTACATTAATAAATACCAACATGGTCTATTGTATGTGAACGTCAGTTTGTATTAACGATCCTTCTGCGTTTTCCCGGTAGTGGGATTTGCAAGGCGCAAATTGTGAACGGATTAAAAGGTTCCCGCCCTCTTTATTGGAAACTTACAGCTTGGTGAGGCATACCTTGAGTTAATTTTATTTTGAGATTCGAACAGGAAAATTAAATTCCATTCGATGCAAACATGGGAAGAATGTCCTCACGTTATGACAAGAAAATCTGAGGCGGTTATCAAGCGAACCATATTGTGCTCTTCCGTGAGGTCTGTTGCGTTTGGAAGATACGGAATGAGCGATTCAAGTATCGTGTGATGCCTCGGGGTTAGCAGTTCATATGGCGTACGACGTAGTGCGTAGGGATTTCGTGGTGTCATACGGAATGTGTTCACCGGTTTAGTGCTGTGTTGTGTAGCCAACTTCTCCGGCACAACTATCTGTGGACAGCCTGACAGAAATGTCTTTGAAGGAGAATTATTTCCATAAGAGTGACAGCATTAAGGAACGCAGAAAATTAGGCATTCACTGCTGTCTTCTAGGTTTCTTTAATCAAGGATTAGAGTGATTGTATGTGTGAGAGGGAAGAAATTAATATAAAAATCTTGGAGCACGTTCTGGAAACGTCATTTGGAAGGCATATTGATTGGAGGGTAATACGAAAGGGATGGAACTGTAGTTGAATTCAAAGTGCCTTGGTTATAGTTTATCAGATACAAGATACATACCACAGACACCGGTATCACAAAATCAGAAATAGTCTCCGTTGAATTTTTGTTGAATATATTTGTACTTCAAATTACTTTGCGCATTCCACCGTGACCTTTACAGGCAGTTCGTAACGGTCACGGTGGAAATGTCTCAGGTTTAAGTTCTGGATACCAGTTCAAATACTGTAGTCGAGTCACATGCGTTTTCAATGCAAGAAGAATCGCTGTGAATTTTCTAGAATTGTGACGTCACCCACACACTAAGTTATTTGCCGATCCCAGCACTTAATTTGAACCCGTTAGTAGTTTCGGTTGTGAGGCGGACGGACAAGAACCCCCCCCCCCCGGGGGGGGGGGTACTCGCGTGGAACTGTGCCAGGTATGTGAGGACGAGAACTGGATCGGGTCCAGGAGTAAGGCGGAGAGCTTCTTGGAAACTTGTACATTTATCGATTTAATGGGGAGATGTGCAGCGCTCGCAGGGGGAGAGGATCATCATTCAGTCGGGTAGCAACCTCGGGAGACCGATATTTTGGCTGTGTTCCTATATTTCGGTTATCCTAGAAAGATGGTTTGAAACAGTTCAAAATTGCCTTTTTGCAATCATTTCTCGGTTCGTGATCGTCCCTGTCATTATTCTGCCATGTGCAAGGAAACAGGAAACGGGTTTTTGCTCTTTATGTCATTAACTATTCAATAATTTGCGCATTACCACAATTCTCACTGATGCGTCAGTTGATGCGGTACCAACCTGCGACCTGCACTGAAGTTGTAATTTTAGTTTAAGGAAACCCCGGTCATGAAGCCAAAATCGAACTTCATTAAATACCTAAAAATGACCCAGGTAAAAGAAAACGTAGTTCTCTGTGTTTATTTCGGTACAGGGGAGTAGAGGCGTGGCTCCACGAATTCTTAACCTCGTTTGTTCCTGGACGTGAACGGTCACTTGCACGTCACTGGTGTTGAAACTGCCCTCTACTTCGTAGCGTTAGCTATGAGCTGGATGACCGCGGTTTGGTTCCCAGCAGCGGCAGAAGTAGTTATCTTTGCCACCACTGTCAGCCTCTTTCTTATCCATTGACGATCGGGAAATGTCGTTACTCTGGGTTAAGGTGGCGTGAGTCTTGTCTTCGACTTACTGATTCACTCCACTGAAGATGAGTAATAGCTGAATATGACGTCATATTATAAGCGCTATTTGAGAAACTTATCGCTCAAATCGGATTATGAGATGCTACTGTCACTGTCCCGTGATCGAGTTACGTCATACAAATGTGGCGAATTGCCGGAATTTCCAGCCGAGTTCACAGACATGCGTCGAGATATTGAGAACATGTTTATACTATTGAAATTGAATGGCAGATAACAGGGAAGGTCCCTTCCAAGCTTCTTGTTACATTCTTATATCCATAACGTTAAAATTCCGAATCATAGGAATTGGTTATTTTTTCTTTGTATTATCAGTAACATTCATTCTTAACCCTTGACTTTGAGCTCTCAGTAGGGCAAGCTTTTCCAGACTGACCTTGCTAGAAACGATGTAAACATAATAATGTACCGAAATACTTTTGTCGATCGAAGTCCATTAAATTCTGTCCTATGTGTTTGATTACAAGCGAGAAAATAAAACGCCATGGCGTAGCCTCCAGAAATCAGTTACTTGACAAATGGTTATATCAAGAGACGAATTCTGGAGAATATAACGCGGCAAAAATGGTGAAACGTTTCCCCAATGTTTAATTAACGACCATACCACGAATACGCGTGGAGAAGTGGCTCCAAGCTTTCGCAACTTCGGCACTGCGTGCATTACAGCGATTTTACCCCCTTTAGTAAAAAGGTACAACAGCAAAGTTACGAGAATTCCAGTTTCGACTTTGGCAAAAATACGGATTCGTCTCTTTGCTACCACGCTAGATCGGCTCTACGCTCCTACCCAGCGGGCACCGGGGTAAATAAGCCGGAACGTGAAGCTGACCATACGTCCAGTGAGTGCTCAGGTTACGAATGCTTGGCTTTCGACGTCCACAACTCAGGAGGCGCGGTATATTACCTGGTTTGAGTTCAGGCTGGTGCACGGAGGATGGCCTTGATTTACCTTCCCTCAGCACACGTAATGCTCCCTCATCTACATAAGCTCCGTAGTTGATGAAGCGATGTTCGGCGGATCCGTCCAGCAGGCGCTGCTTCTCCATGTTGCTGCTGTGTTACGACTGGCGCCCGGTTTGGTGACCCGCGTGGTCCCTGACCTGTGACGTCATGTCGGGCGCACGTGACCCACAGCTGTTGTTCATCACCTGAAAATGGGTCTTTGCATTTCAACATGGCGATGACCAAACATGAAACACTGCCCTTGTGCTTTTCCCAGCGTGTTTTTTTTCTCCCAAAAATGTTCATCTCTCTTAATAACCTTCACCTTCTGCATTAGTTAGTCCTCGTTCTTCCCAGTCTGTTTTCTCTCTGTTTTCATTTTATTTTCGTCATCCTCTATCTATTCAGCTTTATTTTTCTTGTCTTCAGGGATTTGGCAGTTGGATGCATGTACCGGTCACAAAGTCCTCATATTTCTCGTCTCAGAAGCACCCTAATTTTTTTATTTTTCTACTCGAATGACCACAATCCGCACATATGTACTTTCGTATATTTTAATTATTTGCATGTTGGATTATAAAAGATCTCAAACTAGATTTAATCTGCTCTAAATTTCGCCAAAACTATTTCCTTCCCAAAATATTTGTACTTTCCCTTGGTTTCGGATTTTTTCGTTGCCGAATTTAGTGTTACATACGCTTTGGCATAATCGAATAGAACACCATAAGTCCTGTCCGTTCGTGTCTGTTGCACCTTCCACCTCTCTCTCTCTCTCTCTCTCTCTCTCTCTCCCCCCCCCCCCCCCGCAACCCTCATTCAGGCCTTCCCCAAAGATTTAACTTGTTCTCCGAGGGTTCTAAATCTTCTGTACCTCCAATCTCCGGGGTTTGCCTCAACGGGCTATCACCCAAGACCCCCCCCCGCCTTCCCCCTTTTAGGGCTTTGCCCATAAGACGTGCTACAAATTAAGACTTATTTATTTACGTGAGTACATGAAGAAATCGGTAAATGGAGCCTTTCTTTTAACACCCCTGGCTTATATATTACACAGTACAGCTGTTTGTATTTCAGTGAAAGAAGGAAATAAATATCGGCTTTTTAAGAATGCGCCTTCAAAACGGACTACGTGGTTCGCTTTGGATAGACTTTTCTAAGTGGTGTCGTTAGA